TCATGGGACTTAGTAAGTAGGGCTATAGGTTCCTTAAGTGGGGTTATAAGTAACTATAGCTATAGTTACCTTATTTATAACCCGAGTTACTATTTCCCATGACCCTTTAAGTAACTCTAACTCCCCTCTAGCACCCTTAAATCAGCAAACCCCTAAACCCTAAACTCTAAACCCAAAACCCTTAACCCTAAACCCCAAACCTAAGATCGAGGGACCCTTTAAGTAGGGTTCCCCGTGAAGTTTTAAGGCCTAGGGTCGACTCCAAGGTTCACCCAGAGAGCCCAATACCCCTGAATCGAGGAATATCACTTAAGGAAGACTTACTTTTCCTTAAAAGGGGTCCTTAAAGGGATCTATAAGGGTTCTATAAGGGAATCAAGGAATAGAGCTTAAATCATAATATGAAGCCCTATTTAATTTAAGCCATATTCCTTAATTAAGGGGTATTGGGCTCTCTGCGTTTATATTATCAACCGTACTGCCCCTTTGAGAAGACTACGCCCTAGCCCATCGACGGAATGGCTGAAGGAGATGCCTTCGAAGACCTGCCTGGTCTTTGTTGGCCCGAGTTTAGGGTTTTTTAGGATTTAGGGTTCAGGGTTCAGCAGCTCCGGTTCGGGCAGTTTCTAGTTGAGCTTGCAAGTTGGACTTGGAATAATACCCACCCACCCAGAGAATCCCAAAACATTCAGAAATATAAAGTGTTATCACTACCTTCAGCTTAGTTCAACACCGTCAATTTAAAAAAAATGCTTCGAATCCTTAAAGCTTCAATAAAGCTTCAAGCGTGCAGCACCCTAAAGCCCAAACCCTAGACCCTAAACCCTAAAGCCCAAGCCCTAGGCCCTAAACCCTAAAGTTTGAAAGCCCCAAACCCTAGGCCCTAAACCCTAAAGCCCAAACCCTGGGACGAAACCCTAAAGCCCAAACCCTAGGCCCTAAACCCTAAGCCCAAACCCTCGGTGTTCGAAAGTTCATTTGTTGAGGCCCTAGCACCGGCGTCACTTAGTGTAGGGGTTAGAGTTTAGGGCTTTGGGCCGGGGGTTGCGGGGTTTTAGGGTTTAGGGTCGGGATAAGTACCAACACCATGCCTCCGGGTTCCTTAATTCCTTAATATAACTCTACTATCAGGAGGCCCTAGCACCGGTGTTCAAAAGTTCACTTTTCGACGGTTAGGACGCCGGGGGTTAGCACCGGTGTTCAGTTTCCGAAAACCGACTTAGCACCGGTGTTCGCAAGTTCATTTGTTGAGGCCCTTCTTTAGGGTTTACATACATTCTGATATTAGGGTTTAGGGTTTAGGCTTTAGGATTTAGGGCTTAGGGTTTAGGATTTCAAGACCGCAACAAAGTCAGCGAGGCTCCAAGATTTTGATCTCGTTATAGACATCCGTTGTTTTGTCTTTGATCAACTTCACGGTGACGGACTTCGTAGGGTCACACTTGACCTGGGTCAGCACATATTTGTATGTATACATACATATGCATACATATATACATACATATACTTCTTGAGGTACCTCTTGATTTATTTGTATGCAGGTACATCTTCAGACACACACGCAGATAGATAGATAGACAGATAGGTAGATACATAGGTCGATAGATAGATAGATAGATAGGCAGCTGGACAGATAGAAAGATAGGCAGGTAGATAGATGGGTAGATGGGTAGATGGGTAGATAGGTAGATAGGTAGATAGGTAGATGGATAGGTAGGCAGGAAGATATATAGACAGATAGATTGATTGATTGATAGGCAGATAGACCGGGATGTATTTATATGTATATGTATTTATATATATATACACATGTATTTATATACGCACATAGGAAGAAGGCAGATGCACATACATACCAATACACATACCTGTATCTATCTACCTATCTAACTATGCATGCATGCATGCATACACAAACAAAAATCTGCAGTTACGGGCAAACCTGGAGCTTGTGTAGTCTTGCGGTATGCAAGCACTCGCTGGCTCGCTCATCTCTATATCAAAGACCGGGCTCGCAGCCACTATTTTTGCAGCTGCTGTTAATATCAGGGAATAGGGTTCCTTTAAGGGTTCTTTAAAGGGTTGCAAAGGGTTCTATAACAAGGTTCGATGATAGAGGGGCCTCAATAGCTTCAATAGGGCTTTGGGGGTACAGTCTACCACAGTTTTAACACAAAGTCCCCAACACAGTACTGTGAATTAATTGGGCCCCCACAGCATTCCTCCCAGTACTACAACATTTACTTACCCGTTCTCAGAATACTACTGCTGCAGAGCTGTTACCACCATCGATTGCACGGAGTTGGTGCTAACTACAAGTTGTCGCACACAAAGGTCACGAACGAGCCTAGCCGAGATATAGCGCTTCCATGCTTTAACACCCGGGCAGACTTTCATAGAGCGTCGATGCTCAGACTAAGGATTGAGCAAGGAGGTTAGGGTGTAGGCTTTGCCAAACCAATATGCAATGTTCGTCGGAAAGCCGCTTACATACATACACCGGCATCGAAACAGCAGTGTCTCCGAAAAGACTCAAAGCAGGCCAAGCACCCTCACCTTAAGCCTCAAAACTCAAATGATGGTATGATATGAGATGAGATGAGATGAGATGAGATGATATGATATGATACAGTATGATATACTATCCTTGGAACATTATATGATATAAAACAGTTTAAACAGACTTCAAAAGGACAGCCAAGGCATCAGGTTTTGGCAGTTTCGGGCTTCAAGACATGTCAGTTGAGGTTGGGGTCTGCGGTGTTTAGGGCTTAGGCTCGTGCCTTTTGGGGGGCCTTGGGATGATGGTGTTCGCATCGGTTTAGGGTTTAGGGTTTAGGGTTTAGGGGTTTAGGGTTTAGGGTTTAGGGGATTAGGGTTTAGGGTTTAGGGTTCCTTGCCCAGGAGGATCTAGAAAGTAGATCCCTTGATAGGGGGTGCCTATATAGGTGGTGGTCAAAATTAGGGTCCCCTTTTTGGGTACCCTAAATATTAGGTGCCGTATTCTAAACGGGACCCAAAAAACGACCATGATTTGGACAACCACCCACATAGGTTTAGGGTTGAAGGTTTGGGGTATACAAAGCCTTTAGTAGAAAAGGGTTCTACTTTCTGGATCCTTTCGGGGGCCCGGGTAGTACCATTGCTAAATCCTAAATCGTAAAGAGTAAACCTACACGCCCTGAAAGCCTCTCTACCTGGAACTCGCCAAAAGCCCTCAACCCTGAAGCTGTAGGAAATCGACTTCCTACAAGGGACGCAAGTTTCGGGTTCAGCAGCTTAAAGCCTAGGGCTTAGGGTTTATGATTGTTGTTGTTGTTTAAATTGTGTTGCTGGATCTCTTTCTCCTGGAGGGCGCTGCCCTCGAGGGCTACCCAGAATACCGGGAAGATCTAGAAAGTAGATCCCCTAATTTGGGGCCCTATACTACTAAGGGTACTTTATAGGAACCTCCATTAAGGGACCTACTTTTTGGATCCTCCCAGGTTTCTGGGAAGGGACTTCGTTTAGGGTTTAAGGCTGTTAAAAGGGCAATTGACTTTCGCTCTGCAGAGGTCTGGTCTCGCCTAAAGGGTTTAAGGCTTAGAGGATTAGGGTTTAGGGTTTAGGGGGTTGGGTTTAGGGGAAAACCCCCTAAAATCCTTAAAACCCCCCAAATCCCCCTAATCCCCCTAAACCCCTAAGCCCGATGCCCCTAAACCCTAAACCCTACACCCTACTTAGAGGGTCGGGGAGCTTAGTAAGTAGGTACTAAGTAGACTTTATGTACCCTAAAAGGGATCCCAATTGGGCTTATGATACTTATAATATAATAAGTCCTCAAAATAACTACTTACTAAGTCCCCTGACCCTCCAAGTAAGCTCCAAAAGCCTCAAGCCTCTTCTATGGAGCTCAGTCACTTGGCATTTGAAGACCTTCCCGAAAGTTCCCTCGCCGAGCACCTTCCCAATGGTCAGCTGCGACCTGCGAAGCGCTTGCGCTCCCTAGATCTTAGGTTTTGGGTTTAGGGTTTTGGGCTTAGGGTTTCGGGTTTAGGGTTTTGGGTTTAGGGTTTCGGGTTTAGGGTTTTGGGGTTTGGTGATTTAACGGTTCTAGTAGAAGGGGGTTAGAGTTGCTTAAAGGATCATGGGACTTAGTAACTAGGGATATAATCAAGGTAACTATTCTTATCATTACTTATAACCTCAGTTAAGGTACTTACAACCGTACTTACTAAGTCCCATGGTCCTCCAAGTAGATCTTAACTTTAGGGTTTGGGGTTTGGTGATTTAGGGTTTAAGGAAATCATACCAGGGATCCTACTCTAACGCGATAAAGGGATATACCTTAACTCATGTTATAGATCCTACTGGAATTTAAGAATTTTACCTTGAATCATATTTAGAGGTCCTACTCTAGCTTAACAAAGGGATGTTAGAAGATCGGGGCCTCGAGATAAAACAACCCATAATGATTAGGGTTAAGTTTACTTGGAGGATCATGGGACTTAGTAATTAGGGTTATAAGTACCTCAATTGGGGTTATAAATAATTATAAGTATAGTTACCTTAATTATAACCCGAGTTACTAAGTGCCATGAACCTTTAAGTAGGGTTTAGGGCTTAGGGTTTGAACTCTACCGTCTTTGGGCATAGAATGGTGGTGTTGGGGATCCTGGGCATAGGGCGGGTGGGAGCGTTCCATGGGCTTGAGCTTTAGGCCCCGGTTTAGGGTTTAGGGTTTAGGGTACTTTAGGCTTTAAATAAAGCCACGAAGTCACTAAGCAGTAGGAGCAATGGTTCAGTTTGGATCCACCCCGCCTGCCTTCATCGCAGCTGTGAAGCTATTTGATGGTTTAGGGTTTAGCCTGAACCCTAAATAAACCCAAAATCCTAAACCCCAAACCCTCAAGCTCAAATCTCTAAACCCCCAACCATGGAGTCCTTGGTGGCTCGGTGCTTCGAAAGCGAAAAGCCCGTACCAAAAGGTTCCAATGGACCCAATATTCAGGTACTCGGGTTTGGGATCGTAGTTATGTCAGTTAGAGTGTGGGAGAGCATACGATTATTAGGTAATTGGACCCTAGGGCTTAACCTAGACCGTTGAGGTCTTATCCTGAGCTCTCTTCTTCAATAAGCGGGCCCTAAACGCGTCAGACTTGGAAACACAGACCAAACACGGAACCATTGGCCATCTAAGTGCCACACCAGAATATACCGTAGTATACTACTCTAATATACTATCTCATCCCTAACCTCTTAACCCCTACACCCTAAACCCTAAACCCTAAACCCTAAACCCTACACCCTAAACCCCTACATTCCGCTAAGTAGGGGCCCTAGGGCTTTCCTAGGGTCCTAAACCCTAAACCCTTTGAACCCTAAACCCTAAACCCTACACCCTAGAGCCCTAAACCCTAAGCCCTACTGGCGATTGGGGGCTGCGGGGTGCTCAGGCCGCCTGGAGTCTGGGATTCCCAGAGACTCCAATATCCCTTAATTAAGGAATCTACCTTAAATTATAGTAGGATCCCTAATATGACTTAAGGAATATTCCTTAATTAAGGGATATTGGAGTCTCTGGGTTTGGGGCATCAGAGAGTGAGCTTCGGGTTTATCGAAAGGGGAAAAGGAGGGACCCTTCAAGGGGTCCCTTTAAAGGGATCTATAGGGATTCTGGAAGGTAATAGGGTTTAGGGTTTAGGGTTTGGGGGTTTAGGGGGTTTAGGGGAAAAGGAGGGACCCTTCATGGGGAGCCGTCCCCTATAGTGGGCTATATAATATAGTGGGTATATAATAGCTATATTAAGGGTATATTCCTTATTAAGGGTCCCGCCTTTTACCCTTGGAGTTTAGGGTTTGGCCTTCTCAAGGTCACGGGTCTCTTGTAGCGTCCTTGTGTGTCTTTGGGTCAAACAAACCCGCGTTTCCAGGTGTCCAAAAGTTGGGGATCGGAAAACTCTAAAAGTCCATAAACCCCACGAGCCAAGCGCCTACACCACGGCATCTGTGCTTTGGAAACCTTAACCCCTACAGTATCAGGACCCTTGCCTCAGGGTTTAGGTGCAGGGTACCTTCACCCCAGCGACATCAGGACCCTTACGATTTATCCCGCAAACCCTAAACCTATACCGAACTTAAACCAGCTGTTTCTCTTAAAGATTAAAGGAACCAAAAATAATAAAAAAACATATTTCTACCTAACCCTGCAAAAGAACCCCATAACAAACAAAAACAGAGCCCAAAAGGAACCCCGACCTCCAGCGAGCAGGAAGATCTATGCTGACATCTTCTTCCATGAAGCCTTACTGCCGAGCTTTGCGGTTCAGGATTTTAGGGTTTAGGGTTTAGGCTTTAGGCAATCAAGGTTTTAGGGTTCAGAGTTTAGGGTTCAGGGTTTAAGATTTGAAGGATGCTGTAAGGGTGCAGTGGACGTTGACTCTTTCCGCAGCGTCCTTCGCAGATCCGGGCTTGCACAGAAAAGACGACAGCAAGCACGAAGGACCCAGCAGCCGGACAGAGCCACCACTGGGTTCAAGGTTCCCAGAGACTCCAATATCCCTTAATTGAAGAATATACCTTAAATTATAGTAGGATCCCTATTATGACTTAAGGAATATTCCTAAATTAAGGGATATTGGAGTCTCTGGGTTCAGGTTTGGCGTTTTGGGGTCGGGCGCTCGGGATTCAAGGTTACCCAGACCCCCGGGAGGATCTACGAAGTAGATCCCCTAATTCGGGGCCTTATACTACCAAGGGTACTTTATAGGAACCCCCATTAAGGGATCTACTTTTTGGATCCTCCCGAAAAGGGTCTGGGAAGGGACTTCGTTTAGGGTTTAGGGTTTAAGGCTGAGGGCAATTGTCTCGCCTAAAGGGTTTAAGGTTTAGGGGATTCGGGTTAAGGACGGTGTCGGGTTCGGGGCCTTTTTTGGCAAAATCTCATGCGGAAGCCTCGCCGCCATGCCAAAAGTGAGAGTTTCCGAAAAAAAGGGTCCCCAAAGGTTCCTAAAAAGGGCTACCATACGGGTACTATAAGGGTTCCTTAAAAGGGTTACTGTAAGGGTATTATAAGGGTTCCTTTAAAGGGCTCTATAAGGCTTTAGAGTTTCCGAAAATTGGGGGGAGGGAGTACATTTAAACGGATCCTTTAAGGGCTCCTTAAAGGGATCTATAAGGGTTCTATAGAGGGTTTAGGGTTTAGGAGTTTCCGAAAATTATAGGGGTCCCTTGTTTTGGGGTCCTTACAATAAGGATTCGATTACATTCGGGTCCCCTATTTTCAAAAAAAATCCAATATTGAAGACAAGGGGTTTAGGGTTCAGTGTTTAGGGCTTGGGGACCGTCTAAACCTGAACCCCAAGCCTTAAACCCTTTCACGCACTGTTAAGCTCTGTGGAACACTAGTTTAAACCATCCAACACCCTACGCCAGCAAAAAAAACGCTACACCCTCTAAACCCTGTAAACCCATGTCAAGCCCTGTTTGGGCCCTCTAAATTTATCTAAACACCTCCTCGGGTTGAAAAGGTTCTGAGGAATAGAACCCCCACTCCCTGCCCCCCCCCCCACCCCCGCCACAACAACAAGCCTATTTTCAGCCTCAAAACTGGCAGGATACCTTCTCGTACTACTCCAACTAGCCACAGAAATAAAAGGTTAAACTTTCCGATTCCTACTAAACTACATGAACCCAACAGAGTTTAGTGGTTCGGTATTGGGGATCTAAGTTCGTGGTCCTTTAAAGGGTCTGGGTAAGCTCCCTAAACCCTAAACCCAAGGACCCTAAACCCTAAACCCAAGGAGCTGGGCATGAAGAGCTCGACGGTCGGATCTTGTGCAAGCTTGCGCAGTCCACTTTCGTCGAACGCTTTGATCCTCCCCATCATCACACCTTGGTTAGGGTTTAGGGGTTAGGGGTTAAGGTAAAGGGCTACGGTTTAAGCTTTAGGGCTAGGGTTGTAGGTTTGGTTTTGGAGTTTAACGTATGAGGCTGGGGTTTGCGGGATTATTCTGTACGGTGTTTTGAAGGCTATTGTTTGGATGGGGGTGCGTGTATTAATGTTAGATTTTTGATGCCGATATGTAGGATTTCAGGGGCATGGCGAAAACGGTTTTGAGTTTAGGTAGGTAGTAAGTAGACTTGTAAGTACCCTAACAGGGACCCTAAATGAGAGTTACGATACTTATAAGTCTCTAAAATAACTATTTACTAAGTCCCCCGACCCTCCAAGTAGGTGTTCGGACTTCAGAGGTTGGACTCTAGGGTTTACGGGTTTCGCGTCTCGGGGGACAGGCTCCTCTCTAAGCGCACCTTTTTCAGAGCTCAAACCACTTGCCTTCCCAAAGTAAAACAAACGAAGGACCCCCCTAAATCCTAAACCCTAAACCCTAAACCTTAAACCGCAAAGCTGTGTGCACCCTCAGCCCTCCATCGCTTGAAAGGCTCATGGGACTTAGCAAGTAAGGTTATAAGTGGGTTTAGGGTTTAGGGTTTAGGGTTCAGGGTTTAGGGATAAGTACCATAATTGGGGTCATAACTCATTACCATTATAGTTACCTTACTTATAACCCCAGTTTCGAAGTCCCAAGGCCCTTTAAGTATCCCCCCCAAATACCCGTTATGATGCCCCAAATAATAAATAGCCTGTATCAAGGAAGGGCTTGACTAAACGGTACTTGGGGGGTTCCGGTAAAACCCTAACCCCATCAGGTTACAGTTCCAAGTACCCAAACAACAGGGTTCCAAGGTCCAAACTCCATTCAACGTATGTTCGGGACCTAAAACCTTGCTATCTGGATACTCGGACCCTCCAAGTAAACCCTCCAAGTAAACCCTAAACCATTCCCCCTAACTACCCTTTATTGTAGCCCCTCATTACCTCTTAATGAGAAATATCGGAGCCCTTTAAAGGGTACTTGGGGGGTCCTGGCAAACCCTAAACCTGTAGAGTCGGCTTTATCGTCGACTGCGTCCCCTGCCTGCTTTCTCCAGGGCGCTCTCATTGACCTGACTCAAGCCAGGGTTTGGGGTTCGAAGGGTTGTAGGTAGGGGCTTAAGGCCTTCAGGGCCTATAGGGTTAAGGGTTTAGCGTCCATGGTCAAGGTTTTGGGGGAGATATAGCGTTCCAGAGTTTTGGGCTCTGGGGTTCTGCGGCTTAAACTTGAAGGGTTTGATGTCCCAGTGTTTCCGCAGGTGGGGTGGGAGGGAGCGTCTGGGTTTATGGTTGTGCGTGGGAAGGTGTTGCAAGCCTTTGCTGGGCCGTAAATCTCTACGTCCCTGGATTTGTGTTTCGTGATACAACCCTAAAACTGAACCCTGAGACCATCACTTCAGAAATCTGATTACATCAAAAACCACCCGATATGACCTCGAAAAAATCTCCAGAAAGGTACAAACACGAGGCCCGGCTTCGGGTTTAGGGTAGAGGGTTTAGGGTTTAGGGTTTAGAAACCTTGAACCCCAAGCCCAAGACGCGTGGGGTTTAGAAGTTTAGGGTGCTGCTGCAGGCTGTCTGTCATGGATTTAAGCTGGTTCAGGAACCCGAACCGGGCCGTCCTTGTTCTCCTGCCCATTGTCCACCCGAACCGCTTCGCCAGCGAACAAACCAGCCTTGAGTATCTTGGGTTTGTAGGTTCTGATCTTGTTTTGCAGCGTGCGACAAGGTACTATAGGTGTTGTAGGGTTTTAGGGTTTTAGGGTTTGGTGTGTGTTTATGTACCCTAAACCCTAAACCTAAACCCTAAGCCCTTATAGAGTTTCGCGTTTGAGGGTGTGGCGGTTTCGGGGTCTGGGTTGAGCGTTTAGGGTTCCGGGTCTGGGACTTGAAACTGTTAAGATTTAGGGCTTAGCAGTTAGGGTTGAAGCTTTAGGGTTTAGTAAATTTAGGGTCCTGGGTTATCTAGAACTTGATCTTGATGCTCCGAACAACTTACTCTGCTAGTCTATGGTATACTCTAAGACCAGTTTCAAGCGCTTCGCTGTTGTATTCGTTGCGGGAGGGATGTGGACCACCAAACATTGACACCCAGACAAGTTTAAAGCCCTGCCATTTGCCAAGAAATAAGAAAGAGCTTCAAGATCCTATAGGAAGCCCTCTAAGCCCGTACACAGCCCCAACAGAACTCCATAAGTCCGGAAACTAAAGCCTACAACCCCCGAAAAGAACCTATAAGCACCACCGAACACCAGCCAAGAAGCAAGAACCGCCACCAAAACCCCGCCACAAATCCCACAATGACATCCTGCAACACCCAACACTAACAACTGCGCTACCAAATCTACTTTTGGTAGGATCCGTTGAAAGATGTATATAAGGTTTAAACCAAGAACCCACAGGAAGGCAGGTTATGGCAGCTTAAGGTATGTATATGCCACAATACTACTCAGCCAAGGAGAAAGAAAGAGTGCTACGAACCTGAGCACCCAAAATCACAACCTGCAAACAGCAACAAGGTTATGGGTTTGGGTCTCCCTAAACCCTACGTCCCGAACCCGACACCCTACCTTAACCTACCAAACCCTACATTTTTGAAGGCTCTTATTCTAAACCCTAATATGGAATTTATGGGGACCCTACGTTTTTTCAATATGCTCGTTTGTAGGGTTGGATCCGCGGGGGCTGGATCAGTGGGCTTGGCAAAAACCAAAGTTATCAAAATCAGAAGTCAACCTGAACAAAGACTTATTGGATACGTTACGACACGGTAGGTTTGTCCAGAATTAATGTAACTGGAGATTTGCAGACACTGAAAATTGTTGAGAAAACCATGAAAAAATGTAGTATTATTTCTGTCCAAGCCGGTGTGTGAACAGAGCAACCGGAAGCTGTGCCATTCCAGTGACTCCTTGCACCGACATTGGCACGTCGGGCAAGGTCACACTAGATGGCTGGCCTTTGTGTCCCCAAGCAAGGAAACTTGATGGCTCTTCGGGTGAGAGCCCGGCAACACCAACAGGTTTTCGCAAGGCTGAGGACGTCTGTGCAAGAGCCGGCAGAAGCTGCAAAGGTGTGACTCCCAAATTGTCAACAAGAAATTGTTCCTCAAGTGTGTTCACTTGTGCCATGCCACTGACCCCTTGCACCGACATGGGCACATCGGGCAAGGTCACAGTGGATGGCATCTATTGTTTCCTCACACTGCTCAGAACAACCTGTCAACTTAAACAGGTTGCTGCAAGGTTGAGGAAATCTTGAGTCAGCATGGCATTGCTTGGCAAGGTTGACGATTCGAATTGAGGAAATCTTGAGGAATCCTCCTCAAGTGGGGCAAAGAAGGCAAGAACGACGTCCAAGGCCCTGATTTGCCGGCGCATACTCATTCACTGAAAGAGCCATATCAATTCTGTTCCTCCAAGTGTGTTCACTGAGACAGCCACATCGACATAAGGCTGCAAGCAAATCAGACTTGTGTCTCAATTGTTATGCAACCTTCTCATCAGTCATCGCACTGTTTTACCTGTGTTGCTGCATGGCCTGCTGTTGCTGTTGTGTCACAGCATTCACACCCCAAAAACCAGTCACAGCAGATTGGCTTGAATAATAAAAAGCATGCAGCTCAGTAAGCTATGAAACGTATTTTGGCTGACGAAGCGGATCGTCACAATAGATTCCGGACAATCTGCGCAACTGCTTCCCCGAACATCGAAGTGTATTCCCCACTAGCCTGTACATCTGCTGGCACACCGGTGAAACGGCCGTCTTCGCCTCGGTTTACCAGACCAATGAAAGCATTATGATCTGGTTTGGGCCTGGCCAGGTTCTCAAAATGAAACCCAGGCAAATGCCACAGTTGCAAGGGCTTCACTGACTTTCCGTTAAAGGCACCCATGTAGGTGCAAGTCTTTTCGAAGCCACAAAAGGATAGAACTGTTTTGACACACTCGAGGTGCGGCATACAGGAGCTGAGGGGCTGTTCCACCACAGGGCAGCACTCACATGCCCATCCCAGGAAAATCCCAAGTGAGCAAACAAGGGCCTGACAATTTCCCTGCAATACAAAGTCCCGCTCAGTCCATGCGCCTTCCCAGCCGTTGCTTTCAGCACGTTGGGAACGAAATGAGCACATAATGACAAAAGAAGAGCACGGAGTGCCCCACCAATGCAAAGCCTTCTTCTCACACGCTGTGGCTGCATCCAGAAACAAACGCAACCCTTTCGCTAGCAACATGTTGTGTTCGTCATTGTAGAGTATGTCAAAGCTGCACCCACGGAGACCGGATTCGATCAATTTCTTCGAAAGTTTGGCGCTCCCTGCATAGTATTCAATGTATTGCAGCAACCCCGCACATTGATGGGGTCCCACATCGATTGAAGCTGCTTCAATCTTGGCTCTGTTGTCATAGCTACGGCTAATGATGCACATCAGCTGACACTCGATGGTTCGGTTCTTCAATGCGGGATAAGCCAATCCAATCAGCCCATGCCATTTCATGGCCACTCTGCCCACATTGAAGTCCTGGTCGTAGCGCAAGAAATTTTGCACCAAAATCCTTGCAACCATGAGCCTGTGACACCAAGGCTCTGTGGACCTGGCCAGCAAGATCAATTGAGGATGATGATAAGTTTATGTAGTATTACATTAATTAATGAAAAATTCAAATTATAACAAAATCTGTGACCCATAACACTTTGAACAGACTCCGGCCTTGGGGAGAAAGACAAGGAAGCAAACGGAAGGAAATGCGAACATTGCAATCGCGATGTTTGCTCGAAGACGTCCTCTACCCAAGTGTCAAACCGATCATCAATTTCATCAGTTCCTGTAACTGTATCGGTAAAATTCAAGGCAGGAAGAGTACACGGGCGCTCCACTGATCTACCTCCCAACTCAAATGACTCTGCAGCATTCTTTTTCCTTTTGCATTTCTTGCGTGCTGGCTTCACAGGCCCAGCACTACCACTGAAGACCAGCGATGATCCCAGCACATGCTGGCACGGCCACTGGAAATTGGACATGTTGGTGATTCACTGACATCAATACATTGATTTGTTGTCCCACATAACTTTAAACCATACCTCTGGTCCAACTTGAGCAACAAATGGATTCAATGCTTGCCTGGCATATCAAGCACATTCCACAAACTAACAGGACACAATGTCAGGAAGGCTTGTTTTTGCTGATCGCTTTCTCCCCGAGCAATCTGCAGCATAACTATGGTGAGACTTCATGATTCATGTCATGTCATCTTCAATTGCACACTTCAGGCATTCAGCAACTGTAATTGCAACGTAACTGTAAAGACTCAATCACAGAATGAACAGCAACTGCGCACAAGCTGAAGCCAAAATTGTGAATCGAACATGTTGCCGCTATGACAGCAGGAGCAGATTCACACACATTGGACTCGGCTGGATGAACTCACTCCCTGTGACTTCTTGAATCGACCGAAGACTTGAAGCTAAGAACACGATACTTGCATACATGACATTGACAGAAATCTGCTACCTGCTGACATGTTTTCCCCTGTGATGTATTTATCACAAAAAAACTGAAGAGGCTACTTGGCATACTTTGTAGGCGAAGGCATTGCGTCGATAATCGGGGCAAGGCGTTCCAGGACAGCCTCAGGGATAGTACCAGGCTGACAATGAGGCGGCAGTTGCCTTTCGGGTTTGGCCTTCTCCCACTCTGTCCATGCCCAGCGATGCACTTGAGCCAGTGCTTGCTTCCAGTCTGATCTGTCGTTAGCAAAGCTTTTGCTGCAAGACTTTTTCCCCTCACTTGACACATACTGTTTTGTCATGATCTCGGCTTTGAAGCGATGATCGTTGAAGCTGAGACGCAACTTGAAGTCTTCGGGTGGATCCAACTCCGACAGGAAGTCGGGAGTGTTATTCAAGTGTGGACCATGCTCGCGCGGAGCACGTTGCGATGCCTGGCCACGATGTGCAGCATCATCAAGGACCTGCTCAGGGGCTGATCCGCTCGAGGACGAGGCCTGTGCCATTCCACTGTCCCTTGGCCCGGATATTGGATCCGGCAAGGTCCCATTGGATGGCTGTGCTTGCACTTTTGTTTCCTCGTGTGCGACCCCGGCACCACCAAGCACAGAGTGTGGACGGGAAGCATCGACACAGGGCTCCTCCGCCGGGGGGGCGGGCTCTCCTTCACCAGTGTGTGGACTGGGAGGATGGGCGCAAGGCTCCGGTGAGGGGGCGGGCTCTCTTGGACTGGGAGCATGGACACAAGGCTCTGCCGGCAATGAATCAGGAGTTGTTCGATCGTCCATGACATTCATGTCCAACAGCTGGCTTTCCAACTCCTCTTTGAGTTCAGAGATATCTGGATCTTCTTCCACTGCTGGTCCGGGCATTTGTTCGAGCACCTGCTCCTTGCGTTTTCGTGACGCTGCTTGCCTGCGAGCCAGCCCTTGCAAGCCCAAAGCTGTGCCTCTTCCAAACCCATTGCCTTTTCCACGGCCTTTGCCTTTTCCTTTGCCCTTGCCTTTGCATTTTGCTTTGGCACACGGTTTTGACTTTGCTTTGGCTTTTGCCACAGCTCTCCTCGCTCTTTTGGCCTGCAATCGAATCACAATTGAGTCACAATTGAGTCACATTTGAATCACAACAATTGAGTCTAAGCCTAGCTCAGAAACTCACTGGAAGGTCTTGCCAGGGTGCCTTTTGTTCTGCAACCTTCTCATCCCACATGTTTTGCCAACGTTGTTGCTCGGCCTGCTGTTCCTGTCGCATCAGGGCTTTCTCCAAGTCCTGGAAATCCTGTTTATCTGAGGGCTCCATGTTGTCCAACAATGCTGATAGAAAACCATCAGGCATATCTGCATCAGGAGCCTTCTGAGTGTCTGACTCTGCAGCTTCACGGCAAGCTTCTGCAAACTCTTCTCCGAAACACTCCTGACACTGTTTCAACAACTCCTTCTTGGAATTCTTGTGGGGTTGTGTCACATTCAAGTAGTCCGCCATCAATGTCAACTCCGCAAAGGTCCTTTTGTGCCCGGAGCGCAAAGTGTTTTGCACAAGTGGTTCCCAACCACACGTGGCTTTGAAATAGAGTCCTG